GTGATGACTCAGGAGCAAAAGTAGGTGATGCCAATAAAGTAGCAGATGCACTCCTCCACAGTGTGTACGGTTCTAAGCTGAGAAAACCAATTGATAAAATAATTGCAGACCATGGACTCTACACACCGTTCTCCATGAATAACAATCCTATGTACATCCTCACACTCCCGCAATCAGATGAGATTATGACTGCTCAAGGAGGTGAAGCTAAGGGTAATTATAAACTTGATAATCTTGAGTTAGAATACGAGACCATTGAGAATGACGCCCTTGCAAGTGAAGTATCAAGGATGTATTCAACAGGTCGCTCACTGTCCTACAAACATGTTACACTTATGCGTACAAGTAATTGGGACAAAGATCTTACCATTGTTAATGAAAACATTAATATCCCCAGAAAGAGCATGTCAGCAATTGTCCTTCTATTTACCAACAGGGTGAGAACTGATTCTGAAGAATATATTTACCCAAACATTGATAAAGTGAACCTGACCATTGAAGGTGTGCCTAATGCAGTTTTCTCCCAGGGACTTCCCAAAAATAGGTTCTTCGAAGAGGCAAAAAGATTCTTCTGCCCTATGTGCGAGAAATCAATGGCTGACGAATTTATGTCCATCAGTAAGTTCTTCAGCAACGGTTTTGCTCTAGTAATCGATCTTAGGTCAACACAAGATGATACCACTGGTGGAGGTAAGAAGATTGTTAACACACAGTCGGGAGTACTCCTGGAAATCAAAAAGAGAGCCACAGCAGCTGACGTTCAGTGCAACATTTTTATTGTATCAGATGCTCTCCTTAACTTTGCCAATAGAGATCTATCAAGTATTCAATACTAACGGTAAAGCATAGAGATGCAACCATTCAACATGCTCATAGTAGGAATGACAGGAAGTGGAAAGACTCAGTTCTTACTTAATATGCTAGAAACAGAGTACAATAAAGTTTTTGATTACATTGTTATTATATGTCCAACCATAGAGTGGAATATGACTTACATTAATTGGACTCATATTAGTGACCACGGAGTTATACAAATTCCATGCTCACAAGAAATGATCGATCTTGTTCTCAAGGCAGTGTCCACCATATTTCGCGGTACTCAAACTCTAATTATAGTGGACGATTGTGCTGCAAGTCAAGATGTAAAGAAAAGAGTCTCAGAACTGGTGCGCTTAGCATTCTCTGCAAGACATTACAACCTATCTGTTATTGTACTTACCCAACAATTGTCATCAGTAGCAAAACCATTCAGAGAGAACATTTCCAGGCTAGTTACATTCTACAACCCTAGTCGCAGGGATATGAAGGTGATAACAGATGATTACCTAAGTGGTGTTCCCCAGGAGACAATTACAGAGATTACGAAGATATTAAAAGATGAGAAATTCACCGCACTGGACGTACTACTTATTCACTCTTACACGTACACTATTAAACTAAACACCGCGTAATATATAAATGACGGGGACTGAATCTGAGGAAGAAATATTCGAAGCTGTAAGGGAGGTAGAGGAGGCCGCAAAGGTACCACACAAGAAGGCTAGAAAGACTAAGCCCACCGTAGACAAGTCGCAGACTGAACGTAAGAGGGCAAAGCTTATAGAGCTGTCTAGGGATGGTGTAATAGAGAAGTCCGCAAGTTTCATAAGAAAGTCTAACAAGGATGTTGTAGATAGACTGTACGATGAGTATGAGGGTCAGAGGATGTCATGTGCAAGTGACTTCCTGTCTACGCTTATTATCTCAAAGTTTGCCGCAATTCTAGGGAGCTTCGGTGCAGTGGAATCTTCAGAGAAACTGTCTGAGGAGCTACTTAGTGACAAACTTCTTAAGGACGACGTGTCATACCTAACCAGAACTATATCCCCCAACATACCATTCATAGCAGGGCATTTTTTAAGAATTCATCAGTGGGGGGGCCATCTACAAAAAGGGACCATACTATACCGAGTGTGGAGCAATGATAGATGGTTTGTTGGTAACAAAAAGTTTGGTGTGGTATCGCATTTAATAGTAGGGGGGGGAGGAGCAGGGCCGTAGGAAGCTCTTTTCGTTTGGGGGGGGCTGAAAGCGAGGGCCGAAGGCCCGAGGAAATTTTTAAATTTAGAGTCTCTGAAATGCCATTTCCTGGACTTTGGAGAAGATTTGACAGATCTCTGATTGTCAGAAAACAGCGTTTTTAGTATGTGGAAATTTAGAATTCAGTAGTACTAAATGGGCGAAGGTGTATTTAATTAACGATATATTGGATAATATGCCCTGGAGAGGGTCTGGGGTTTTTTCTCTCCCAGAAAATTTTTGTATTTTTCTACCCCTATGACTGCAATTCCCTGCATTTTCTATTTTTCTGAAACAGATTTTTGGATATACAGCATTACATTATGCTGTAGATAGACTGAACCTTCAGTTAAGTACTTCATAGTATGTTTATGTAGATACCACAACTTGGCCGTCACTTAGGGAGCCAGCTTGATAAACTTAGAATTCCCGACTCCCACGAAGAGCCACCATGGTTGGCACAGAGCGAAAAATTTTGAAAATTTTGCGTCTCTAAATCGTCGGAAATGGCATTTTCAAAGTCTTGTATACGTCTTTTGTTAGGCCCTTTCATTAATTCGTTCATTATGATTTTCGAGTCTATGATATCCGCGAGTCATGATGGATTATTACGAGAAATGTTATCAAAATATCGATTACAGATATTTGATTATATGTATATGACTTCAAATACTTCTAGTTTCGAAATCAAATTGTTTTTTTTGGTGGGGGGCCAAAATTATCCCCCCCCTTATAAAACACTTGGTTGAGGGCCTGTTGCCCCCTGCGGTCACTAACTTGTCCAACAACTCAAATCTATAAGGTCTGGGAAATGCAATCCACTGCCTGGGAAATGTTTTAAAATCTAAGGTATTTATTAAACATAAAAGACAGGACATAAGATTCACAAAGCAAATTTCAGTTACTAGAATATCAAACCTCCCTTCTAAATTCCATGTTTTGCTTGTATTTTAGAGAAAAGGGACTTTGACTGGGGGGGGCCAAAATGGTTGAGTGGGGGGGCCACTATGGGGGCTGGGGGGGCTTTGGCCCCCCCAGTTATATAGTTAAAAAATGCCCTGATTCATAGGACTCATATCTGGTGGCTGCACAACAGCTAAACATGTAGTTGCTCACAGATGGAACAAAGAAGAAGTGTCAGAGGAAGCTAAACATATCTTATTAAATACAGAAGAATGTCACAATACGGAGAACCTTACAAGTGGGGAAATGCCTGGGAAGGAACAGAGTTTGAAGCCATAATTAGCGAGTTGATTGAGAAAACTGGTAAGAACAAGGAGCAGCTAAATAAAATCCAGGCAACCCTTGATTCACTACAGAGGGGCCATGATGCCCTTAAAAATAAAATAGTAGGTCCACTAGAATACGAATTTAAGGCCTTCAAAGATGACACAATAAAAACAGTTGTAAAGATATACAAGAAGTTACATGAAGCAGTTTGAGCGTAGTATTTTTCCACCAGGAGGCACATAGTAGTAGAAGCAGCTGGGTGGGCTAGGGGAACGCTGCTTCATAAGTTAAGTTTAAATGTCACATAAAATACGGCAAAAATTTTTACACATATAGTATAGGAAAGATGGAGAAATTATTTAGGAATCAGTAGTTGAATGTTAGTGTAAGGACCGTGAGGTGGGGTGGGGATGTGCTGTTCTACGCAAAAGATGTGGCGGAATCCCTAGGGTACTCGGACACAAAAAGGGCAGTCAAAAACCACGTTTGGGAGGAAGATAAGTATTCACTGGGTGGTTTAAAAAGGGGTGACTTGAGTCAACCCTTACCAAACGGACATCCGAGCACTGTTATGATTACTGAACAGGGTTTGTACCAGTTAATTTTCGGATCAGAGCTTAACACAGCAAGGGAGTTCAGGAGGTGGGTATTTACTGAGGTACTTCCATCTATTCGTAAAACAGGATCATATGAATTACCAGATAGAAGGTCACTTAGGTACAACCAAATGATCCTAATAAACGAAACGGACCTTCATCATACAGTCGTGAGTTACATCAGGAATAACCACCCTGAGGCCGTAATAATGCCTGGTCTTGGGGAGTATCAGGACACGATTGCAAAAAGATGTGACGCTTGGAAGAAAGGCTATAAGGGCGGCCAACCTGACCTTATTATAGAGAACCCTAAAGGGAGGTACATAGGATTCGCAATTGAACTCAAGTCTCCTAAGGGCACAGGAACTACAAGTGAGAAGCAGATCGTATGGCTTACAAAACTGAGGGAACTAGGATATATGACAGTAATATCTGACGACCTGATACAGATCTGTATTAAGATTAATGAGTACTTCCAGATTAAAAGGAAAGATAAAACAGTAAGGGTGAAGAATGTAGACGGCACCGCAAAAGTGCATAGGGAAAGGTTCTCGTTACATAAGTACTTTTAAATTAGGACATCTTACCAGCAAATTTCAGTTATCTCATAAGGTATCTCAGCAGTAGGTTTAGGTTAACTTGTAAGTAAAACCAAGACATCTTACAAGCAGATTTAAGTTATCTCATAAGTACAGTTTAAGATGGAACCCAGTTAAACCTAAGATATCTTATAAGTATAATGGAAGATAAACCTGAGCAACCTCAAGTACAATTAACAAGTGAAAAGAAGAAGGACCCTAAGAGGGTAGCTGCAGGGAAAAGGTTAGCTGCAATCAGTAAGTTAGCCAAGGAGAGAAAAAGGAAGCAGGCTGAACCTAGTGAGTCACCTAGTAATGACAGCATGATTACCTACATAGGAGTGGCCATAGCACTGATATCTCTTGTGCTAGCATATGAAACACATCAGAGGGAAACTAAGGAACCAGAACCTAAGCTCATCCCTAAAACCGTAGAAATAACTAAGAAAGCTGATGAGTCCAAGTTAGATTCACTTGAGTGATACATTAAACATACTATATATTATAACAAAATGAGTAAAGAATCAAAGATGACTAGGGAAGTGTACGACGCAGTGTTACTTACACCAGGAGCAGTTGGTATATCAATGGCATCAAAGAAACTATTGAAAGAATCATTAGGTACCCCAGAGAATGTAAAAGGAATGGCGAAGTTAGCTATTTCAGTTAGTCTTTCATCTCTACTGGTCTCTTACTTGAAAGAAAAGAAGTATCTACCAGATGATCCATTCAAAACCTAGGTAAGACTATACAATGGCGGGAGCAGTAGCAGGAGGACTCTTTAATGCATTTGCATTTGCAGGAGCAGGATATTTATTTAAGATGTTTGACAAGAATGGATACGCTGAGGAAGCCCATAGACATAACATAGCAATGGAGAATTTCACAGCTGAAAGAGAGAAGTACCTTGAGGAAGTCACTGACAGGAGAAACAAAATTGCTAGACTAAGGGCAGAATTAGCCGAAGCAAATAGTGACATCAAGTCTACAAATCAGTCTCTGGAATTAGTTAGGAGAATCAATGAGTTAAGTCGTAAGGCTATGCCAAGGAGGCCACAACTAAGTAACCACTACAAACCTAGCCCTAGGATGGAAGATTATATGACAATCTTTGGTTTAATTACTGGTGGGGTAGTCGGAGGGGCTGCCTATTTAATACTATAGAAAATACGGCAAAAATTTTCACATGTATAGTATAGGGGAATGGAGTGGTTACAGATGGTAACACCTGAGGAAATAGTACATGTAGGTAGGAAGACAAATACAGTGGAAGAACTAGAGGCAGCCGTAAGGAAGTACGTAGAGAACAGAATTAAGGTGAAACATACATACGACCCTGTATGCGGTGAATGTGGTAGTAAGTCTATTGTGATGATAGATGGAGCAGATGTATGTACACGTTGTGGTGCCAGTGATATGAATAACTTTACGTACTATGTTAGTTACAATCATAACAAGGACGACTATCTTAAAAAGAAAACTTGTCATAATAGGGTCCGTTGGTTTGAGAGACATTTATTCGAACATGTTGCTTCTAGGGATCGGGACATAGTAAGGGAGCAGTTTAGAAGCATCGTGAGATGTATACAGAGACTTAGACTGCAGAGGGGGCGCAACATAGTTAGATATAAGTTTTACCTGCTGAGGATAGCCAGCATGAACGGCATTTCCTTGAAGAACCCTCCCGAGGACATTAAGACTCAATGCATTGTGGACGTTCTTGAGGATAGGTTGTATGGTAAGGTTTTTGTTGAGCTCGGATGGAAACCTGAGAATTGTAAATTTTATAACAACTGGAAATTAAAACACTTAAAGAAATATTAACATAATAAATTAAACTAAATATTAATATAATAAATTAGTAGAATTAATCAATAAATTAAATTTAAATTAAAAGTACTTAAAGAAATATTAATATAATAAATTAATAGAATTAATCAGTAAATTAAATCCAAATTAAAAGTACTTAAAGAAATATTAATATAATAAATTAATTCGAAATAAATTATCAATTAAATACTCCAATTTATTTTCACATATATAGTATAGAGGAACAGTTGAAAAATATGGCGAACTATATGAACTTAGACGAATTGAGTGTGGAACAGCTTTTAGCCCTTAACAGTATCATAGACAGTGATAGTGACGATGATATGAGGGTAGAGGAAATTATAGCCGACAAAAACTATAGGATAGCACCTAGTGACAAGGGCAAAGACCCCTTCGAAGGAGAAAGATATTTTATAGACGAATTAGCGGACCGTTCAACTGACCCAAAGAAACCTAGACGTCTTCCTTTGAACTACAAGGGAAGAAGAGGAATTATGCCCACATGGAAATACTCCGAAAGACAGAAGGCAAAGGCCTTACTTGTAGAGGAGGCGTACCAGAGCCTACTTTCAAAGGGTGTCGAAGGATTACCACCAACGATGGGAGGTAGATGGCGCACAGATGATCCTCAGGTGAACGAGGAAATTAAGAGGATCGAAAACGAGAGAAACCCTAAGGTCAAGCGTTCTAGAGGTAGACCACCAAAGGTAAGGTCAGGCACCGAAGTTAAGATTCCCAAAAAGAGAGGTAGACCACCAAAGGTGAAGTCTGATAATGAAGTTAAGATTCCTAAAAAGAGAGGTAGACCACTAAAGGCAAAGACTAATGTTAAGGTAAAAAGGCAAACTGTAGCGGAAAGATTCCTGAGTCAAAGGAAAATAAAACTGTCAGTTCCTGCTGATAGCATTATAACTCCAGCTGGTCCAGGAAAGTTTACAATACATGTGGATCTTAATAAGAGACCTGTAAGGAAAGCTCCTGAGGTACCTAAGGGTGCAACACCATGGAGACCCGTACCTAAGCCCAGAACAGTGTTCCCTAGGGAAAAACCTGTACCTAAACCTAGAACTAAGCTTCTTAGGGAAAGACCTGTGCCGAAACCAAGAACTAGGAAACCAGTGTCTCCTCCTAAGTTACGTAAGCCTGTGAGGGTAACGAAAGAGGTTAAGGAGCAGCCTGTAGTAATCACACCAGAGGAACACGAAATAGACCCATTCGGAACGTACCTTGAGAAACCATTCCATAGGAAAATCGAAACTGCCGCAAATGGGGCCGCTGTAACCTACTCAATAACTCCTCACTTCATGGACCCCCTAGACCAGATGACAGCAAGTAGGCAGGTAGTGAGAGGAATTCTAGTGAACGAGTTGAAGAGAATGGGAGGTCTTAAGTACACAGAGACCATTAAGGTGAGAATGTCAAAAGAGATCGGTAATAGTAAAACAAAGAAGGATTCGGTCTACTTCAAATCAAAAACTGGCACCGTAACTAACTTCGAGGATATTGAACATACAGCTGCTCAAAATCAACTGACAATCTTGTCTAGAATTGAAACCTTCCAAAACTTAGGTTCAAATTGGATTATACTCAATATTGAAAGCCACTATGTTAATATTGTAATGTACAAACCGCTGAAGGGTAGTTCGTATATAAAACTTCCTGCAGACATTAGTAATCCAAAGTGTGGTCTCATCAATATGAAAAACGATGACAACAGGTGTTTCGTGTGGAGTTATGTAAGACACCTTAGACCAAAAGTTAGGAGAGCAACAACCATTACGCGTAGAGATTTGGAATTCACAGAAAACCTAGACTACAAGGATATAGACTTCCCCGTGAAGATAAGTGATATCGACAAAATTGAGAGGAGGAATAGTATAAACATATCCGTGTTCGGTTACAGTGGTAAAAAGCAGTTCTACCCGATAAGAAACTCCAAGGCTAAATATGACGAGCATATGGAACTTCTACTCCTGGGTGATGGTGAAGGTAACAACCATTACGTTCTCATAAAGGATATTAACAGGATGTTGCACAGCGTAAGTAAACACGAACATAAACAACACTTCTGCTTACACTGTCTTCACAGCTGTGTGAGTGAAGAGGTACTGGAGAAGCATAAGGAAACATGTCTGGAGGTAAATGGAACTCAGGCTGTAAAGCTTCCCAAGGAAGGGACAAAAATCAAGTTCAAAAATCACAGGAACTCAATGCCCGTGCCGTTTGTGATATACGCTGATTTTGAGTCCATACTGGTTCCCGGGGAGAGAAAAGTGGAGTCGGAACACTCTGAGGACAAAAGTAGTACAGACCTTTACCAGACACACAAGGCTTGTAGTTTTGGTTTGAAAACAGTCTGCCACTACGATGACAAGTACTCCGGTGAGTATAAGAGTTACGTCGGAGAGGATGCTGCATTAGTCTTCCTAAAGACTGTATTGAAAGAGTCCTTCAGATGTAGAGAGATGGTTAACAATATATTCAAGAAAAAGATGGTAATTACACCTGAACAGGAATTCGAATTCCAGGCTGCAAAAAACTGCTCAATATGTGGTAACGATCTTGGTGAGGACAGGGTAAGAGACCATGATCATGTAACTGGACTATATCGTGGAGCTGCTCATAATATATGTAATCTGAAATGCAGAATTACATGGAAAGTACCTGTTGTCTTCCACAACCTGAGAGGTTACGATAGTCATCTGATTATGCAGGAAATTGGTAAGTTCAAGATGGACGTTAATGTGATTCCAAATAATATGGAAAAATACATCTCATTCTCACTGGGTAAAAATCTTGTCTTCATAGACTCTATACAGTTCATGGCTTCTTCACTCGAGGCCCTGGTAAGTAACCTTTCACCTGAGGATTTTAAAATAGTAGGTGAGAGGTGGAAGGGTGAGGACTTCAGTCTAGTAACACAAAAAGGAGTGTTTCCATATGAGTTCCTCGATAATATTAGCAAACTTGATACTGAAGGTCTTCCGAGTAAGGATAAGTTCTACTCTTCACTGTATGAGTCAGAGGTGAAGGAAGAAGATTACCAGAGAGCTCAGAAAGTATGGAATCACTTCAAGATGAAAACCATGAGAGACTACCACGATCTCTACTTGGAGACTGACGTTCTTCTGCTGGCTGATGTGTTTGAGAACTTTAGGAGAACATGTCTGGAAAGTTATGAACTAGACCCTGCACATTACATGTCAGCACCTAGTCTGAGTTGGGACGCTTTCCTAAAAAAGTCAGGTGAAGAAATAGAACTCGTAAGTGATATGGATATGTTTCAGTTCTTCGAGAAGGGTATGAGAGGTGGTACAAGTTATATTGCTCACAGACACTCCACAGCTAATAATAAGTACATGGAGACGTACGATGAGTCATCTGAGAACAAGTACTTAATGTACCTCGATGCTAATAATTTATATGGCTGGGCAATGTCACAACCACTACCTAACGGAGAGTTTGAGTGGGTTGAGGAAGTTGACGGTATGAATCTGGATGATTACCTCGAGAACAGCGAAAGAGGGATGGTTCTAGAGGTCGACCTGGAATATCCACAAGAACTTCACGATCTACACAACGGTTATCCTCTAGCACCAGAGAGTAAGGAAATTGATTCTTCCATGTTGTCAGATTATGCTAAAAGTATTGCTGAGAAATTCCAACTGAAAATTGGAGGAGTAAAAAAACTTGTAACCTCACTTGACCCAAAGAAGAACTACGTCTTACATGCACGTAATCTGAAACTGTACACAGACCTTGGGATGAAACTAACAAAGGTCCATAGAGCAGTTACATTCAAACAGTCTCCCTGGCTTAAAAACTATATAGACTTCAATACAAAGAAAAGGTCTGCGGCTCGTAACACGTTCGAAAAGAACTTCTTCAAGTTGATGAATAATTCGATTTACGGAAAGGCTATGGAAAATCTTAGGAAAAGGGTTGATGTTAAATTAGTGTCCTCCGAAGATGACCTCCTAAAACTGACATCATCACCGTGCTTCCAGTCACATAGA